CGAGAAGGGAGAGGGTTGACATGTTGTGGGGCTGTTAACCAATGTTATAAAACAATATGTGTACTACTGTTTCATGAGAAACTAGTTGTTCTTAAGCCTTCACCTGAAGTACAATAAAAAAAAGAAAGAAAGCAGTTTGTAATTTATGTTTCCTAGAATGATCTGTTTAAATTTTGACCAATTTCATAACTCAAGAGATTTATATAGGGTGATTCTTCCAGCTATGAAATAATCCCAAGGTCTGTCCGTATAGAGCTGGTGACATTCAGGGACTGGCAAGGGGGAGGGTAAACAGAATTCATTTTTTTTGACTCAGTAAGTTTACAGCAACTGTGATATTTCTGTTACTAATATGAATATGGGTCTGAGATTAAAGGATATGTCATAAAAAAGTCTTAATTCCATGGATATGACAGCTATGACTGCAACTTCTCAGTTTGTGCTCAAATCGATCTGCTGGGTAAGCTGGCATCTCTACCAGGGACTGGAGGATGTGTGAGACTTAGACAGAGTCCTTGCTTCAAGCCCCAGCCGGGAACGGATGGGCCCATAGCGTGTTATTTCTGTGCCCTGCCCCCCGTGAGTTCTCCCCACAAACCTGGGGACCACACATCCCCATATAGAATGTGATTGGCACCTCCTCCACGGCCGGACCACAGAGCTCAGGGCTTCTGTTGGTTCAACACGTACGTATCGAATGCCTGCTAGTAATCAGAACAAAATGCTTAAAATCAAAACCAAATCCATTGCCCTAGAGTGGATTCCAACTCATGACAACCCCCTGTAGTACAGAGTAGAACTGCTCCAAAAGCAGTTGCCAGACCTTTCTTCCTCAGTGCCACTGGGTGAATTTGAACTGCCAACCTTTAGGTTAGTATTCAAGCACAAACCATTTGTGCCACCGGCACTGCCTCCAAAATGTATAGAAGATAGTTAATTAGCATTTGTCGAATGAATAATACACAAAGTCAGCTCAGCTTTAGTATATTCCCTGTCAGACCATCAGTAAGACATGCTGAGGCAGCACAGTTGTGTGACTGGAGTTTCCCTTCCTTGCCTAGTTGCAGGACTCCAGGGCGCTCCTGGAGTTGTGTGAGGTGGCAGGTCCTCTCCCTTCCCTTTCTCTTCCTCTGCCTGCCACATGGAGTAGGTAGGAATGAGCAGGGAGACATCAAGGAGCAATGAGGGGCAGCAGGGGTCCGCAAGTATCAGGTACCTGAGAGTGGTGTCAGTGAGGTGGAGAATGGGGGCTGGTGGAGGAGCTGGGAGTGGAGCCATGAAAAGAGTATAAACACTTGGTTAGAAACTGTAGTTTAAACATTTTGAAATAAGGATCCTATTGTGGGGGGGGGGAGTGTGTGTGTGCCTGTGAGAGAGTGTGTGCCCGAGTGTGTATGAGTGTGTGAGTGTGTGTGAGGTAGTATGTGTGAGACAGCATGTGTTTGACAGAGACAGAGTGTGAGAGTGTGTGTGTGAGTGTGTGCGATAGTATGTGTGTGAGAGACAGAGACCGTGAGAGTTTGTGTGACTGTGTGCGGTGGTACGTGCGAGAGTGTGTGTGTGAGAGACAGAGACTCTGAGTGTGAGAGTGTGTGTGTTTTATTTTGTTGTGTAGACTTGTTTGAAAACCCACAAATGGAAATTTTGGACGAAGAGACCATTATTTCCTTTGGACATAACAATGCAGACGGGCTTGGTCCTTTGAAATCCTTTTCCTTAAAATCAGCGCTGCTTCTCTACTGAACAGATCAATAAGAAAAAAGTAGATTGTGCTGGTAGGCATGGTTGTCTTTGTGGAAGGCAAAATGTTCAAAGGTCTTTGTTTCCTCTTCTACTTCTCCTGTTGATCACCACTGTCGGGCAAGTGCCCAGAAAAATTAAGATAGGAACAGCCAAGGGTCAAAATATTTGGTTCTATTTTTTTTTTCAATGCTACAAGCTGTTTAACATTTTGCACAAATCAGAGCAGTAAGTATCTTAAATGCATCACGCCCAGTCGATTTAGAAAAATGTACTGATTATAAGAAAAAATGACTTCTGTGCGCACAGAAATGAGAATGAGGGAAAGCCCCACCAAGAGATTGGTCTGAACTTCTGGCATTATAATTAAAATATATGGTGACTTGTTTTCATCCGAGTGGTAAACAGGTTCCCAACACCCACCTAATATCTGTGCTGTCACATATATTAAGGCTGGAGGTGCTTTTCCCATTTTCACTGTGCACTTTTTAGCATATATCTGAGGAAATGATACATCTTCATTAAATAATAGGTGCTGTATTTGGAAAGGGTAACAAACCCAGCCTGGCTGTTAGGAAAGCCAAAGATGCTGCTGTGAAGCTCACTGTCTTCCTGTGGGGTGAATGACTGAACCTTCCACACCCATTCTGGAGGGCCACACAAAGGGCCCCATTTCCATTTCTGTCTGACTTTGAGTTAACCAGATGACGTGATTTTGATTAGATGTATAAAATAGTTTTCAAACACTATGTTTTATATTTTTTTCAGTGAAATAGTTTCAAGGAATTACTGCAATGTAGTATCTGCTAGTAAGTAACTAGAGCTTCTCTTATAAAGAAAAAAGGAAAACGAAAGTTTTTTTCATGCAAAACATTATTCACTGAGATGCTTTCCCTGATTGAGGTTTATTAATAGTTTTTTGTTTAGCCCTATTTATTTTTAACCTATCTACAGCTTCTGTTTCCCTCCTATGTAGCATTAACTTGTATTTATTCCTTCTTTGATGTAGAGAGATGTAGAGAGCCATGTTCCCATGCATGTTTGTAAACACAGATGCAGTCTGCAGACTTGTTCGCACACCTCCGTGACTGCTGAAGTCCTGTCCTCTCATCAGACACTGAGAGCATCCTCAGGAGTCGCCGCTCCCCCTCCTTGCTTTCCCTGTGCGCTTCAGCACGGCCACCCTGTGTCTGTGCCTGTTCCCTTCTGTCCTGGGCAAATTTGCTCATCTTCAAAGTGAGGTTCAAGCACTCTCTTCAATAAGTCTCCCAGACTGCTTCCACCCACGTTGATTAGTTTTTTAAATTTATTTATGTTCTTGTTGTTGAGAATATACACAACAAAGCATACACCAATTCAGCAGTTTCTACACATACAATGCAGTGACTCTGATTACATTCTTCGTGTTGTGCAAAACACCCTCCTTTACTGAGCTGTTCCTCCTCCATTAACATAAACTCCTTGGTGGCGCAGTGGTTAACCGCAATGGCTGCTAACGTAAAGATCGGCAGTTCGAATCTATCAGCTGTTCCTTGGAAACCCTGTGGGGCAGTTTTCTGCCCTATAGGGTCGTTTTGAGTCGGAATCTACTCGACGGCAACGGGTTTGGTATTTGGTTTGGTTTGCTGCCCTCTAAGGTTTCTATCTAATCTTTCGAATTGCTGTTGTCAATTTGATCCCATACAGATAGTTCTTAGAAGAGCTTAATGCTCAAGGCAGACCTTTTTTACTAGTTAAGATAAACTATTGTTTGGTTTTAAGAAGTCTTCAGAGGATACATACTAACTCTCTAGTTGGACACGTATTTTCTATACTGGTGATTGGATTGTTAATTATGTGTGCTCTCAGATGTGTGTGTCTCTTCTCCCCAGTCAGTTGATAAACACCTGACGAGTCAACTTCATAATTTAAGTGTTTTTAATGCCAAGCATAGCACCCATAGTTGTTGTTGCTGTTAATCGCCGTTGAGTTGGTTCCAACTCATGGCTACCTAATGCATAACAGAGCGAAATAATGCATGGCCTTGCGTCATCTTCATACTCACCCACAGGAGGCACATTGTAACACTTATATGTTAATGCATTTGTTGTGTTTCGTAAAGTTGGCTAGTTTATGTTCTTCTTAGTAGATCCCGTATGGGAACCAGCTCCCTAGCTCATACACAGAAGTGAAAAGTAGGTTCCACTCTCTCTCAGCCAACTGTATTTCTGATCATGCCCAGGGACCTAATGTTGCCCCAGGTGACAATTCCTGACTTCTGTCTTTTACATTTCAGTCCTACATGGAAGACCACCTGAAGAACAAGAATCGCCTGGAGAAAGAATGGGAGGCGCTTTGTGCCTACCAGGCAGAACCCAACAGCTCCATGGTGGCACAGAGGGAGGACAACATGCAGAAGAACCGCAGCTCGGCCGTGCTAACGTGTATGTATCGCCTCCCATGACGGACCGCCCCTCTGTTTCCATGAGGTTTCCACTGGGTAGGGACGGGAAGGTGATCGATTATAGACAGATGTAGACTGTGCCTTCCTATTTTTCTCCTTATTTTAATGACTGCCATTCTCATAGTCTGGAAGGCCCTTCCCCTACTCTTCCCCCTTACCCTCTTCTTTACCAGCAAACTTGTACTTCTCTTTCAAGACCAGTGTAAACATCACCTCTGTGCAGCCTTCCCCAGCCTAAACAATAAACAATTCGTTTCTTCCTCTGTGATCCAGTGGCACAGTCATGGAAACATGAGTTCGGGAGACATCTAAACCCAAGGGGAATATTTGCTCTAGTGTGTTCTATTAGCTGTGTGATTTGAGACAAGTTTCTTAGCCTCTCTGAGCCGTTTTTTCATCTGTAATTGGAATCATACTCTCTACCTTGAAATATTACTGCTAGGAGGATTTGATGAGGTAACTAGCATACAGCCTAGTACCTTTTCATACAAAATAAGTAATGGTAGCTATTACAGCATTTTTTACCTTACAATTATTTCAGCGAGCATTATGAGTACCTACTGTCTAGCTAGGTATCATTGCCAGAAAGTGGAGATTAAAAAAATAAATGATCTAAAGTGACTTGCCATCCAGTAGAGGAGACAGAGTCTTATGTTATCCTTTGCATGTGATGTAACAAATGTACTTACAACATGTACAGCCCACCAGGACTTAACAGGAGCCAAGTAGCTCCCTGTGGGCAGTCAGGGGTGACTGCCCCGGACATTTTCCCCCATGACCTGGTGCCCCTAACACATTTCATTCAGCTCATATTGATTATACACCTCCAGTGTGCTTAACAGGTTGCACAAAGGGTTCTGGATTTTAATTAACACAGAAACCTACCCCACAAGGAGGAGAGGTATTTTCAGGATCTTTGTGACCAAAGTTCCTGACAGAGACAGACACTTACTAAATGCTGATTTTGTGAGTGATGAATGAATGGGGTGTGTGTGTACAGAATCACTCAGTTACTGTTTTACTGGAACCTTGAGACAAGGTATTCATAAATACTTGGGATAGCATAAAATGTGCTTTATCAGCTTACATTTCTTGAGAGCAAGGGCCGGCAAAATTCCAGTTCAGCATTGCAAAAGCGTGTAAGATCTACGTCCATCGTGGCAATGATTGTCACTTTGTCGCTGTGTCCCTGCTCAGCTCCTTAGAGCTAGTCATGGGCCCTGGTCTAGTGACTTCCAAAAAGGTGGCGCTGGCATCCTGTCCTGACCACCGTCACCTTGAGGCAGCCCCTGTCAGTCAACTCAGGAGAAGCAGCTGTATTTTAAACAGCAGGAATTTGATCAACATTTATAGGTCAAAATTTGTAAAAACTAGAATCTTGTTTTTCTTTAGAGACTAACCTAAGGAATCATCGACCTTTGTAAAATCCAAATCACACTTCTCAGTATAAATTTTTTTCTTACAGTTTAGTCAGTTTTCAGAGTAGGTCCTCCATTTCTATGAGGTATGAAGGGTTTTTTTTGTTTTTGTTTTTCCTAAAGAGTCCTAAAGAAGGAGCCATTATGATTTACAAGTTTTATATTAGGTGAAAAGCAAATCAGCGAATAAACTAACTGCTGTGTTTGTTAAGTATCCGCTATGTGCCGGGGACTACTGAGGGACTTTGGGACACAAGGATGATCAAAGGGTGGTCAGTGTTCTCAAAGAGCAGATTGTTTAGGGGTCATTTAGGTGGAAGTACGTCTTGAATAATTAGCTGATTTTTGGGTAAATTTGCATTCACTAAGTACATATTCCCTGCTTGGTGCAAACAGTTAACACGCTCGGCTGCTAACCGAAAGATTGGATGTTTGAGTCCATCCAGAGTCACCCTGAAAGAACAGCCTGACAATATTTCTGAAAAATCAGCCATTGAAAACCCTGTGGAGCACAGTTCTACTCTGACACAGGGGCGCCAGGAGTCAGAACCAACTCGATGGCAAATGGAAGCACATATTGAATGTCTCCCATGTGCCTGATTGTTTACTTGGATTATTAGGTCTTTCATTAAAAAAAAAAAAAAAAAAAAACCATTGCCGTTGAGTCGATTCCAACTCATAGTGACCCTATAGGACAGAGTAGAACTGCCCTGTAGGGTTTCCAAGTCTGTAATCTTTATGGAAGCTGACTGCCACATCTTTCTCCTGCAGAGCAGCTGGTGGGTTCGAACGGCCAACCTTTCAGTTGGCAGCCAAGTACTTAACTACTGTACCACCAGGGCTTCTTTTACGTCTTTTATAGTAAATGTTAAAGCTGAAAGCCTTTTCCTCTGAGACCATCTCCCTTCCCCCCAGTGATAACCCTAAAACATGACAGAAATGTGGCCACAGTGTTGTGTTCTATGCACTCTGTAGCCCACGGTGGTGGCCACTTGAACTCTGTCTGTACCATGTTAAACCAGCTGATTCAATGCAAGGACCCCAGTAATGGTGAATTTGCCAGTCCTAGGACATGAAGCAGGCGGCCACATCTCTCAGGGTGGTGGTTGGTAGCGCAGCCACCGAGAGCCAGGGCCTTGTGAGGGCTTTGACGTTTCCCTCTGATAAGAGCACTCGGGGCCTGACCATGAGAGCCAGAGGGAAGGCTAACAACAGGAAATAACGTCTTTATTTGCCTCTGACATTGAAAGTTAGAGTCTGTCTCTGTATTCCCTGACTATGTCTGTAATTTGACTGATACCTCCTATCCCAAAAAACCAAACCGTTGCCATCAAGTTGATTCCAACTCTGTGTGACCCCTTGTGGTCAGAGTAGAACTGGGCTCCATAGGGTTTTCAGTGGCTGATTTTTCAAAAGTAGATCACCAGGCCTTTCTTCCGAGACACCTCTGGGAGGACCTGAACCTTTAATCTTTTGGTTAGTAGCCGAGTACATTAACCATTTGTACTACCCAGGGACTCCCTTCCTCTCCGTGACTGCTGTCAAACCCCATTGTCCCAACATTCCACCATTGATTGCAGCAGCCCAGCCCCTGCTTTTGTTTGCATGTATGCCTGGCCTGGGATTCTTAGCCGTAGCAGGTTGTGAAGAAACAACTTTGTTGTTAGAGTTTGAAAAGTCAGTCGAGGAAGGTAGGCAGGGCAAATACTTTGGTTGATACAACCCTTGATAAATGGGTCTACTTTGGACAAACTAGTATCACATACCCCCATCTCTACACCACTGACCTTCTTAACGTTATCACATTTCAGTCTATATTCCTTCTCAAGCAGAAGACTGGGGGAGGTGGGGAATGGCATTGCTTAAACTCACGGTGGTCTTTGCGAACTCCAGCAGGGATAATTACCTCCTCTCTTTCTTAAAGCCCTGCTTCATTCTGTCTGGCCATTATGCTCTTCATGGGCTAGCACTGGCTCTGTAATAAAGCTATAACATGTTGAAGAGTATTGGCCTCCAGGTGGCTCCATATCTCTGAAAGCTTACGTTGATTTACCATAAGCATGTAGACTAATGTGCATAGTAACAAACATTAGTGTGATCGGGACAGCCCTCCTCACCAGTGCCTACACTTTTGGCATGGCGCCATCTCTGTACCATATCCTAGATAACTGTCACCAAGCCTAGCATTTCTCCATTTGACAGGCCCTATAGGTTTACCCCTTACTCACTCTTTTTGTCCCCGCCACCCTGGTCCTCCTTGGGTCTCCTTGATCCTCCCACCTCGGTCTCTGCCCTTAGAACCCATCCTGCAAGCTGCTGCCCAACTTACCTTTGTAAACCCCAAGAGATTGAAATGATTTCCTGGCTTTCAAGATGCTCCCAATCTGAATCCACCAAGTTTATCCAATTGGATTTCCTATGCTCCCAGCATCTCTCTTTCTGTTCGGCCCAGGAGGTCAGCCTGCACCGTCCCTTACATCTTTGCTGACTTGATTTCTATCTTAAATGTCTTTCCTACTCCCCAGCACTGGAGTGATGCCAGCTTAGTCTGGAAGATGATTTATCTGGCAAGTTGCATAGGAAATCAAAAGTGGTAGGGCTAGCTACTTTGAGGCCCTTTATAACCCAGAGATTCTATCTACATCCTAATTTTCATTCAAAGGAGAAGGGAACTAATATTTATTAATTGATTAACTGGCACTGTGCTAGGTCTAATTATATTATCTCAGAAGTTTAAAAAAATTAATTTGCTTTTTTAAGTTTTTTTTTTGCATTTTTAAAAAGAATGATGCAATATTCTGCTCATCTGCTTTTTAAATTGAGAACAAGGATATGATGTTATTTTGATATACTATCTTAAACAAAAAAATTATTTTTGATTCTGGATTATAATAAAAAGAGAGACAAATAGATACACAGAAACAATAACAGAAATACTTAGAGAGGCAAAACTTAAGAGTATGAAAAGCAAAAGACCCAGATACATAAAGAGAGAAAGAAGGATACATAATGCAGTAGACTCATATTTTGGCTTTTTAAAAGGTCATTGTTACTAATGCATAGACCAGAGTTACCAGGGGCAAGGAGGGGAGGGGAACGAAAGCTGGTGCTGAAGGGGTGCTGAGTTTCTTTTCGAGGTGATGGGAAACTTTTGGAAATGGATAGTGGTGATGGTTGCACAACATGGTGCTTGTAATTAATGTCACCGAATTGTACACTTAACAATGGCAACGGTTTATATATCTCACCGTAATAAGGAAGGAAGAAAAGGAGGAATGAGGGAGGGAGGAAGGATTGATCCCTGGAGAAAGGGGTGAAAAAAGGACATTGTTACTAAGGGGATTTCAGTTAAGGCTCCACAACCCAAGGCAGAGCCATTGGCCTGGCCCCTCCCCAGGCCTGCCTCACAGGCGTGGTCAGATGAAGAGGGCCACAAGTTCCCAGGAGCTGGGTTCCCGCATTAGCTACCTTGTAAATGAAATTATGACAGCCTGCTTACTTCCTGAGCATGTCACGTGCAAGCATCATCCTAGTGCCTCACCTATAGGCCACCCCTCATCCT